ACTATGAATCTCTTGGCTATGTCTGAGTAGATTCATATGTTAGATTTGGGGTTCAAATAGTTATGAGGGATTAGCCCCAACTATTGATTGTTGAGTTGTTATATTCATTATCCAAATGAACCCTAATGCTTACTCTAGACTTGCTACCTAGAGTATTTATTATGGAGTGACTAATCTAATAGTCATCTTCCTGAAATCATTTGGCAAAACCCAGACTCTATTAAGGCACGATGCGACAGCCGGTCTGATAGAAATTCTCGGGTGAACAAAGTTCGATCCGATCTGATACTTAATATCGATCGATAATCCTCTAGAGTTATCGATCGACGACAGCTTATATCGATCGACACTGCGATAGCAACATCGATCGATGCAGTCGGCAATCAGATCAACGGATGAGTCTAACTAGCGACAGCTATAGATTTGTCTAAGGGTTGAAGTTCTCATATATTTGCAAGCAATTCGTTAAGACATCCATAGATTTATAATCCTGATTTTCTGAATAGTAACCTTGAATCTAACTATTTCTCTTCATTGTTTTCAAATCCAAAACCTATTTTCCTTAGCAACCTACCATTGCTACTTATTTTATTTACTGTTTTAAACCTTTTTCAACCTAGCTTAATCACTTAGGATTATATCTTTTGTGACTCCAGTTCCTTGTGGATTCGATCCCTAAGTGCTACGATTGAACCTCTTATTTGAGAGAGTAAAATCACTCCTTAGGTTAAACATTTGAGTGACATCAAGAAGGCAAAATAATGGTCCGAAATTGTGTTTCTGTCACTTAGAGGCAGCCATAAGACAAGCTTGGACAGACAAGAACTCAGGACGACGATTTTATGCTTGTCCACATTTTAAGGTATCTCATCAGAATATAGAACTAGCGATTATGATGTTAAAAATAGCTTTAAAATTGAAATTATGGCAGGAGAAAAATGGATGCAATTTCTTCGCATGGTTTGGTGAAGAGGATGGTGCATTATGGCAAACAAGAGCTTTGATTGAAGCCCGGGATGAGATCCGAGAGAAGACTGAGCAGTTAGAAGATACCATTGCAGATATGAGAAGCAATTTGGAGAAGGTACAAAATTAAGAGGAGATTGTTAAAATGTTTGAAGAATTCTATGTTTAAGCGATCTTAGCAATGTATAAGTGTGTTTTAGAACCCCTGTTTAAGTGTGTTAGAACCTCTGTTTACGTGTTCTCGAACCTATGATCAAGGTCGTATGTTTAAGGTATGTTTAATTCGTTTTCGACTGCCTAAGAGATATTTTGGAAAATCACAGAAAACTAGTATAACAAGGTGAAACTATGCTAAAAATTGGCATGATCCGAACATCACTTGCTAGACATGGTCCTATGATCATAATTCTTAATACAACTATTCGAACAACATAAGTCTTAATATAAATCTGAAAATAGATTAGTGAAAATGACAAATATTGACAAAACTCAATAATGAAAAAAGACTCAGCTTCTTCACATGTTATACTAGTTAATATGTATAGTCTTTCCAAGAGAACTTTGTTAATAAGATCAGCTTATAAAGGAGTATTCTATACTTTTCATGATTTCAAAGATATTATTGCACTAATAATTTATAATTACACGGTAATAAAGAACAATGACAAGTAAAACTTCAATCAGAAATTAAAATTATACATAAAACTAAAAAATGTTGAAATCACGAAAAGTAGAACTATGAAGACAACTGATAATATCAAAAACTTAAGTATAACTAAGAGCAAATATTTCATAAGAAAAATAAATATTAGTTTCGCGCGAAAACGAAAAAACTCAAATTTTCAATTATTTAGGTCAAGAAGTAGATTCCCTCTGCTCTATTTTCTCTGATCTCGTGTCGTCTTTTCCCATAGAATTTTTCACTTCCCAAGCACTCTCTCTTTCTACTCTCTCTCTCTCCACTCTTGCGAAACCACATCTTTTTCTCCTTTCTCTTTCTCTTTCTACTCTATACTCCTGAAGATCCAAGATTTCACTCTTTCCCCTTTATACTCTATATTCTCTCTACTCTCGCTCCCTTTCTACTCTATATTCATTCAAAACATAAAACAAAGTTCTAACAAACATAAAACAAAGTTCCAAGCAAGTTCCTCATGCTACCTCTCACTTCTTACTGCGTCTCTGTTCCTTTGCTTTCTTTTGTGCTGGTGCTTCTTTTTCTGTTACTTTTCCTTGTGCTACCTTCACAAACTCTTTAAGCGGGGCCAATCTCCCATCCAATTGGTCAACCTTCTTGTCAATTCTCCTCATCAGTTTCATCAGTCTTTGCATCAACTTCATAACATCTCCAGGTTGAATCGACTGCTCACCTACCTGTACTCCATCCCCTGCTGCATCTTCAATCACTTCTGCCTGTTTTTCTCGCGCAGCTACATCTTCGTCGTGCATGTCTTTAGAAAAAAAACTTAAAGCCTGCATCCAGACACTTCTCCCAACTGTCTACAGCTATATCAGATTCATCAACATCGTCTTCATCTTCCAAAATCGTAACCAAGAGCCTTTCTTCGTGTGCACTTCTGGTGGGGATGATGCTGTGAATTTCCTGTCAAAAACACATTTAATTTTCAAACTTAGCAACACATGCCTACCATAGTTCCGTATCTATTCCTACCTAAATTCTACGACAGTTTTACTTTAAGCCTACTCTAGTTCTACCCAAGTTCTACCACAGTTTTACTCTAGTTCTACTATAGTTTACAGGAAAACTTACAGTTGTGTTAGACAATTCCTTGTTTATCTCATACAGTGACACCCCTGTCATTCCATTTCGTTTGAATGAGGACCTGCACATCCTCGGACAGTTGACATTAGCTCCTTCAGCTTCAACATTTTATCTGACCGCCATTCCTAGCTTAGGAATTGCCTCAAATGCAAGAAGCTGTAAAAAAACACAACATTTATGTTGTACCATCATTAAATGACAGCAATCAAGTCATTACTGGGATTTACCATACCTCTAGTGGAACACATAAACCTGAAAGCGACCATAATATGTTCTCTTTCACCATCCCTCCAAAATGCTTCATTGTGTGAGCGATCTCCTTCAGTATGTAATAATAGGATAATATCCCCCATGGAAATGACACGCAATAGTCTAGATCATCCACTGATCTATGGAACACCTTCAGCACATCATTAGCCTTGTGTTCAACCTTTGTTTGCGCGCAGATAACATAAGCTAAGAAGAATAGAACCACCATCTTCAGTATGTCTTGGTGGGGTCCCATGTTCACCAACTTTCTCTTAACATCCTCTAACCTTCTAGGTTCTCCTTCCTTGAAATGTCGATCAACGAACTTCGTCCCACCAAGCTGTTTGTAGCCGAGAGGATAGTTGTGGCATTATAGCCCAGATGTCGAACCGTATTCCCTCAACCCATACCGGATGGGAACACCATTCATAGTGAACCACTCTTCTCTCTTCCTCTTGGTACCGGCAGTACGTAGCAACAACATCAACATTCCCTGAACCCTGTGGTTTCTCTCTCTTTTCATGTGGAAAATGTGTTTGAATTGAGGATGCTCCGTGAACCCCTTCCACTCCGCGTTAGACAGCTTCGGTTTCAGATGGCTTAGCATATCAATCGCGCTAGCTATCGTACACCTTTTCCACAGCTTTATTTGTTTCGTGTACTCAGATGGCTTGAAGAACATTTTGGTTGGTTTGATTGGCTCGGGTGCCTCATTTCCATTAGAATCCTACTATTAATAACAAAGTTATATCAAAGTTATGCCAAAATTATAGCAAAGTTAAGCCAAAGTTATACCACAATTATACAACATTTATACCAAAGTTATGCCCAAGTTATGCCAAAGTTGTATCCAAGTTATACGCATGTCGAAGTAATTTTATTTTTCCTATGTTGTACAACAACAGACAATTTTTCAAACAGTTCTCTTAGTAATACTAACATTAACACACTCGATATACTAGCTCTCCATAATCATAATAGAAATTAAATTCAAACTCATCGGTAATTTGTTACCTGAGGTTCAGGTGGATTCTCATCGTCGTTTGCTTCCAAGCCATCTCCTTCTCCATTTGCTTCCGAGCCATGCTCAACTCCGTCTCCATTTGCTTCTTCTACTTGTTCACCTTCAGAATCTTCATTCTCCTGGTTAGAATCCTCTTTCTCTCCATCTTGTTTTTCCTCAGAACCCTCCTTCTCTCCATCTGGGTCTTCTTGTTCTTCTTCAGAATCATTGTTCTCTCCATCTCGCTCTTCTTGTTCTTCTTCAGAATCATCGTTCTCTTCATCTCCATCTTCTTGTTCTTCTTCAGAACCCTCTTTCTCTTCATCTCCAGAAGCTGGTGGAGATGGACCTTTGTTCTGTGTCGTCGGAGCAGTTTCTGCAGCCACATTACTCGGCTCCGTTATCTCTGCCGTATTCTCCATTGAGACATCAGTCGTCTTCTCCATCGCAACTTCTCCAGTCTTCTCCGTCGAGACATGCGTCGTCTTTGCCGTTAATTAAAATTTTGGAGTAGATTTTATTGTAAGTCTACTTAGTAGACTTTTTTGAATTCTGTTATGATTATTTCATTATTTTTTTATTTTTATTATTTTAAAAATTTTAATATTTAATTTATTTCTTTATTTTTAATATTTATATTATATAATTTCTCATTTTAATTCATAAAAACTCAATTTAATTTGAAAATCATGATTGATAAATTAAAGTAGTCTGAAAAAGACTTCTACACTAAAGTAGACTTTATTGTAAGTCTATCAAACCTTAAATCACAAAACTGAAACCCTATAAGTTTGATTGATAACCAAAAAAATCTCAGTTATTGTATCATAAATATAATTTAGACATTTTTATTCATAAATATGTAATTGGCAGTACGCTTTTTTATTGTTTTATTGTTTGAATAATAGTTTTAATATATGATTTACTAATTTTTTTATTGTTTGGTACCCTTATTGTTTTGATTTTTATAATATATTAATTCATATTTTATAAGTTAAGAACTAAAGTTAATTTGAAATAGTGATTTTTAATTTTAGTAGACTACAAAGAACGTCTACTTACAATAAGTAGACATTATTGTAAGTCTATCATTCCCTAAACCACAAATTCCAACCCCTAAAATTTTCTTCATAATCAATAAGTTTCAATTATTATATCAAATGTTAAGATATACAAAATTTAAACTACTCAATATTAATATGTATAGGTCAATAATAACAAAAGAAATCTAAATTTAAAATCTAACTCTAAAAGACATCATATGTTAGAACATCTTTTGCTAAACCATAAACATTTTCCAACACATAGTTACCTAATCAATATATATATTCGTTAAAATTTTTTAATTATATCAAATTTTAAGTTATATACATCATATTGATTATTATATTGATGACCTAAAAGACATTTCACACAATTTATTTTTATTAATTTTTAAAATAAAATTATAAGATTAACTTAGAATGTAGACTTCATAATAAGTCTATACTGTTGACTTCATGAGAAGTCTACACCTTGTAGACTTATCTTAATTAAATGTAGACTTCGTAAGGATAGAAATGTAAAATAGCATTCTGGTTTTTTGTTAAGTCATAAAAGGTAAATAAACATTTTCCTATCCTTTTAGGTTGGTTTTGCATTTGATTGAAAGTGGGGTACATTTTTGAATTTGATTTCAATTTTTAGGTTGTTTTTAGCAATTCTCCCTAAAATTTAAGAAGATGTACATTTATATATTATTTTATTTGAGTATATTAGCTGTATTGAAAAATAAAGTGATTTATGACTTTGAAATTATTTGAAACTTAATTTTATTATTTTTAATATCTAAAATATAGGTCAAATAAAAATAACAAAAAAATAATTATGTCTTAATTATATTCCAATTCCTAAGTTTTACTTATTTGAGTTCTCACTATAGATTCATAAATAATTTAAATTTTGATTTTGGTTTTAAGATCAGTACTGAGTTTGGAAATGTTTGTTTTCTCCTCAATTCATATGAGATTCTCCATAGCTAACTTGAGAGATAGATTAGCTTTGTTCGGGTCCACACTCTTAAAATAGCAAAGAGCTTTTACCGGTCAAGGAAGAGTTAATCCGCTTGAACTTAACTGCCATTTAATGGCAAGTGATCTGACCCAAAATGGAAGCTACTGTGGTTAAAATGGTGAAAACTGACATGGGATTCAAGGTTCTGGAACTCAAATGACTTCAGCAGAAGTGTACATCTCTTCAGCCGTATAGAAACTTGTGAATTCTGAGATGGTTAGGTTCATATCACATAGGATATTCAATATGCTAATACATATGATAAAATGTCACAGAAAAAAAGAATGAAACTTAACACGACAATAAGAAAATGATTAATACCTCAGAGAAGGAACAAACTTGAAGCCCTTCCACTGGTGGAAAAATCTATTTGGAGTTTTTAGTGTTAAAAATAATATTTTAAATAGCAGTTTAGTGTTTAATTCTATTTTTATCTATTAAAATTATATCCCCTACCCTTCAAAACTCCACATCTATAAATCCTAAAAATAGATTAGCTAACCGTAGATATATAAGTGTTTTTTTAATTCTTTAAAATTTTGAATAAATGTACTTATTAAGAATGAGATAATTCAAACACTCGATCGATTCTACGCATCAATCGTCGATGCACTTTGTTTATATCGCCACGGCTATAAACACTTTCTTGTTCCTATTAACAAAACATCCCTTTTATCTTCGCTCTTCCGGAACCGGTATAGAAATGGGTGGCCGCCTATAGGTGGTAGGGTAGGGTGGGTGGTACCACTCAGATTGCGGCCAATCTTCCTAACCACGCGGGGGCCGGGCTTAGAGCGATTGAAACTCATCTTTACCTCGTAAGGGCATTGAGACCATAGCATGTTACACGAGGAAAAAAAACCTTGTAGTGTTGTCATACAGCTGCCTGCCTAGAAGAGCTACTCTCTCTGTAGTGAATTAGACAGGAAAAGAACCATCTAAAGCTGTTTCGGCTTTCTCTAGAAGAAAAACTTGCATTTGATTATTTGGTGCTGCCATCTTAGGAAGTAAGCAGAGGACCCAATCAATTACTTCATCTGTTTTTACAAAAATATTTTCATACCTATTAATAAAGTGAATTATTAAAATTCGCTTCTAATGAATAATTTTTGTTTCTAACTATTTCATATAACTTTAAGTCAAAGAAATTCAAAAGCCATTTTTCGTCCAATCAAATTTTAGTTTTTAGTTTTTTTGTAAAACCATTTGATTTACCAATCAAGTTTTCTAATAAATAGACTCCATAAACTTGTAGGAAACTAATTTTTTTTTCATAATTTCAGCCAATTTGTGAAGAAAAGTCAAAAACCAACTTTTGTAGGTTTTAATACAAAAACAAAATTTGTTACTTTTGTAGAAAAT